CCTCTTCCCAAACAGGACAGATCCTCTCGTGCTGCCTTACCATACCCTCCATGTGGATGGGAATGGTCCTACATAATTTAGCAAGCATATCCGCCTCTTCATTCTCTTCTCTTGGAACATATATGAGCTCATAAGACTCAAATTGTCCAAGTAGAGTCTTGGCGCAGTCCCTGTACTTCTTCAACCTTCCTTCCTTGGCCTCCATTTCTCCTTTTAGCTGCCCGATGGCCAATTTTGAATCGGATTTAAGGCGAATGTGCTTTATCTTCATGAATAGGGCAATTTGGATTCCTCCAATGAGGGCCTCATATTCTGCTTCGTTGTTGGTGGCCCGAAATGTGAATTTAAAGGAATGATAAGCCTTGAAACCTTCAGGGGAGGTGAGGACCGCTCCTCCTCCTGAACCATCTTTAGTGCAAGATCCATCTGAATGGACCTCCCATAATTCCCTTTTTCTCTCCTGACCGGTCCCATCCTCTTCTGGCTTCCCTCTTGCTGTGCACTCCACCATAAAATCTGCAATGACCTGGCCCTTCTTGCCAGAACGGGGCTGGTAAGAAATATCATATTGAGAGAGGACCATGGCCCACTTAATGACCTTTCCTGAAGAAGATGGGTCCCTCAAAACTGCTCCCAAAGGCTGGTCCGTCATGATTCTCACTGGGTGAGCTTGGAAATAGGGAGTTAACCTCTTGACAGTTACCACCACCGCCAAAACACATTTTTCCAAGGGAGTGTACCTTTTTCCGGTCCTCTTAAGGCCCTGCTCGTGTAATAAACTGGCTTTTGGACTCCTTCTTCTTCCCTCAAGAGGACCGAACTCACTGCCAGGTGGGCCACCCCCAAGTATAAGAAAAGGATATCCCCTGCCAATGGCTTGGAGAGGACCGGTGGAGAGCTCAAATATGCCTTCAAGTGTTCAAAGGCCTCTTGGCACTCTGCGGTCCACTGGAAGTTTCCCCCTCCCTTTAAAATCGTGAAAAAGGGTAGGGACCGCTCCGCGGACCGTGCCAAAAACCTTCCTAAGGCCGCTATCCTCCCTGCTAATCTCTGGACTTCCCTCAAATTCGTTGGTGGTTCCATGTCTTGGATGGCCTTCAACTTGTCCGGATTGACCTCAATCCCTTTCTTGCTCACCATGTAACCAAGGAATTTTCCTCCCTGAACCCCAAAGGCACATTTTTTGGGGTTCAATCTCAAATTATGCTTCCTCATGATGCTAAAGCATTTCTCCAAGTGTTGAGGATGGTCCGCTGCTTGCTTACTTTTGATCAATAGGTCATCCACATAAGCCTCCATGATCTGTCTCAGGACCTCCTTGAATAATAAAGAGATCATTCTTGTAAATGTGGCCCCCGCATTACGCAGCCCAAAAGGCATGACCACGTAACAATATACTCCTTCAGGGGTGATAAAGGCAGTGGATTCCGCATCATCTTTGTCCATGAAAATTTGATGGTATCCTCGGAAGGCGTCCATAAAACTCAATAGTTCATGGCCCGCCGTTTCATCTACCAGTTGATCTACTCTTGGTAGGGGAAAGGGGTCCATAGGACATGCCTTATTGAGGTCAGTGAAATCCACACACATGCGAAAGGTGTCCCCTTTTGGTGTCAGCACCACATTGGCGAGCCATTTGGGATATTGGACCTCCCTAATGTGGCCGGCCTCCAAAAGGGTTTTCACCTCCTTCCTCACAAATTCTTTTCTGTCCGTGGACAGATATCTTTTCTTCTGCTTGACCGGGAAGGAGTCCATCTCGATGTTCAACCTATGGCAAATGACTGAGGGATCGACTCCGGGCATATCCTTGGATTCCCATGCAAAGAGGACCGAGTTTTCTCTTAATACTCGGATTATCTCTTCACGGGTATCCTCC